AGCAGGGTTGGCCTCCCCCCCCCGCCCCCCCTATTTTCCTGGCTGTCGCTAAATTGCCCAGGCTTCCTCAGCCTCCCAGAGGCTGCACCACCACACCAGGCTCAGGGTTGGATTTTTGGCCTAAGTGTCTCCTTTCCACCGCCCTCCCCCTTCTCCTGTATTTCTCCTTTCTTTCTTCCTTCCCTTTTCTCCCAGATGACCTTTATTCCAAGCTAAGACCTTCTAGATTTTTCCCCCACTGATCCAGAACATCAAGGTCCTAAAACCAAGCGTTTGCAGAGGTCTGAGGCGCGGGGAGGCTGGGTGATCGCCCACGGTGCTTGTCCTGGGTGCACAGCTGGAAGCGCAGCTGGCCTGGGCTTCTGCGAGCACCGCCTCTTTGCCCCGCGGATGGAGCCTGGGCAGACTACACCCCGGGGGGCGCATTCCCTCCTCTGGGCCCCCGAGGGGGCAGAGAGCCCGGGGGCAGTGCGTCCTCATCAGGTCCCCGGTTCGGAGCCCGCCTTACACCGCCCGCCACAGTGGCCGGAGCGGACCCGCAGCCACAGCAGCCCGCAGCCCAGCTCGGCGCACGTGGCTCGGTCTTTCATAGCGCGCGCCCCTGCCGGCCGCGGCTGTCTCTGCACCGTGCGCCCCCTGGCGACGCCGCGCCTACCTGCCGGCTCCGGCCGGTCACTGGGCTGAGCTCTGAACTCCGGGCTGCGGCCTTGGCCTTGGGCTGCCAGTGTAGTCCCACCCCGCATGGGTCTCAGCAGCTCCTTGCAATGCTGTAGCTACTGCTTTTTTTTTTTTTTTTTCCTTTGCTACTGGGGGTCGAACTCAGGACCTTGCGCTTGCGAGGCAGGTGCGGCTCCACTGAGCTACATCCTCGGCATTGCCTTTGATTATTGTGATTTTTTTCTTCCCCCTTTTTATTAGCATATTTTGGCAATATCGTGGGGACCCAGCTCCCCTTCCCATCTTCCCGTCTTCACAAAGTCTAACGCCCTGTTTCCTGTCGTCCTGTATTTTGCTCTTTCATTATTTACACTGGGTTTCTCATGTGAGAGAAACCATGCGGTATTAAACCTTCTGTGTCTATCTCACTTAGCATGGTGGTCTCAGGGTACTTCTATTTTCCTAACAATGACTCCGATTTATGTGTTGCACTCCAGTGCACCCTAGGCTGGGAAAGATTTTGTTCTCTGAATTTATTAAACGACAAGACTTTTCAGATTTAAAAAACTGGAATTCCAGGTGGAGCATGACCACGGGCACGCCTGCAGGAACTGCTTTGACTTTCTCTCTCTCTCCTTCTCTCTCTCTCTTGTGCTGGGAATTGAACCTGGGGCCTTCACACTGGACTATGTCTCCAGCTCGTCTTTACTTTGAGACTGGCCTCAGAGAGTGCTGGGATCACAGGTGTGCACCACCATGCCAGGCTTGCTTCAATCATTCTTGCAGCCCAGTGCAGGACAGGGTGACCTCTGTCTAGCCTGCGTGGCCTGAAGCCTCCATCCCTGGGGTACTGAGGACACGGTTGTGCCCTCCGCCGTCCAACACAGCCAGCTGCGACGGTCCTCGAGGTGCCGCCCTCCCTCTCCTGCTTCCAGGGACCTCTGTGGCCAGGGTGAGCCCAGACCTGGACCTTGGTCTCTTTTCTCTTGCTCTGGTCTTAATTTCCTTACCAAGGAGCTCACAGTCCTTTCTGCAGTGTCATTCAAACAGCACGTCCAGCTATGCATGATGGTGCAGGCCTGTCATCACAGCACTCTAGGAGGCTGAGGCAGGAGAATTGCAAGATTGAGTCCAACCTGGGTAACTTAGCATCTTGGTGAGACCTTATCTCAAAATAAAGATACAAATAAAAATAAAAGGGGTGGGGACCTTGGTGGTCGCCTGCCTCTGAGCTCCCTGTAGCGCATTCCCCTGAGTGAACTCCTCTCTGATCCGACCTACGTGGAGCATGAGAACCCCCTCCCTGTAGGGGGGGGGTCCTCAAACTCAGAGGAGACTCCACGGTCATGCTTCATCCCAAAGGTTCAACAGCCACTGCCGCAGTTGCTCAGATTAAAAGTGTGCCCCAAAAGCTCACTCACTGGAAACCTGATCTCTTAATGTATATCAGTGGCATCTGGAGGAGGAGCCTCTGGGAGGGAATTAGGATTAGGTAAGGTGAAGATGGTGGAGACCCCATGATGGCATTGGTGCTTTCAGGCAGAGGAAAGGAGGCCTGAGCTAGCAGCCTGCTCTGTCTCCTCTGCTGGTGCTGGCAACTTGCTCCTGGACTCCCAGCCTCACAACCCTCATAAACAATCCAGGCTCAGGTGTTTTGTTACAGTAACAGGAAACAGACTAAGACAGTGGTTCTCCTGCTTGAGCATGCATCAGAGTCCTCAGGAGGATTTGTTAAAACACAGACAGCTGTGCCCGCTGCAGGCAGAGTCTCTGGTTCAGCAGGCCTAGGGTGGAGCCAAGAACCTGGATTTCTACTAAGTTTCTGGGTATTCTGGGATCCCACGAAGCTCACTGTTAGATTCTGAGTCCAGCAACACCTAAGTGAGGAGGGAAATTGGACAGCTCTCCCGAACCTCCACAGTGTGCCTGCTCCAGCCACACTGCATTGCGGTCACACAGGTCATCAACCCCACTCCAGACTCTGAAGGCATCCGAGGGTGCCGAGCCCCCATAAACCCTTTCTAACTTCCACCAGAGCATCAGTGAAGCCTGCAGGCCCCGGGCTCCCCAACAGACAAGGAATAAATAATCAGCACATGAAAGGACGTAAGTGATGGACGCATATGTGCTCATCAGTTTCCCATCACTAAAACAAAATGTCTGAGATAGGCATCTTATTAAGTGGAAAGGTTGTCTGGGATCACAGTTTTGGAGGTTTCAGAACATGACCCATCGACCCTGTTGTCATTGGCCTGTGCTATGCCATCATGGCTCGAGCACAGGTGGAGCAAAGCTGCTCACCTCATGGCAGCCTGGAAGCAAAAGGAAGGAAGAGGGAGGGGCTGGGTTCCCAGCATCCCCTTCCGGCCATGCCCCCATGGCCAGAAGACTTCCTGATGGGCCCCATCTCTTAGTGTCTACACCATATCCCAGCAGCGCCAAGGTAAGGACAAAGCTTTTCACACGTGGACCTCTGGGAACATTGAAGATCCAGACCTGTAAGGACGTTAACCCAGGTTGGGCAACGCCTAGAAGCCTGGCTGTGGGATAGAGAGGCTCGGGTGGCATCTCAGGGGCTTAATCCTCAAGGAATCCTCTCGGGGTGCCCATCTGCCACAGGTCAGGGCCAGCACTGAGACACTCAGCTCGTTTCTGTGCCAGAGGTTCCAGCAAAGCATCACAGTATGGAATTTGACAGGCGAAGGTGGCTGGTGTGAGGCTTCTGCCCTATCAGAGGCTCAAGGCATAGATCGCCCCTTCAACACAGCAGTCCAGAACACTTCAGCTCCAGGGATGGGTTTTGTGGAAGACAATTTCTCCATGATGGGAGGCAGTGGGAGGATAGTTTCAGGATGATTCAAGTGCATTCCATTTATCGTGTACTTTACGTCTGTTAATATTCCATCGTGCACTTTCTTTGTACTGTTACTGAAATTACCTTCCAGTCTCCTAAGGAATGGGCAACCTAGATCTCATGCATGCACAGGTCACAGCAGGGTCACGCTTCTGAGTATCTAAGGCTGGCTGATCTGACAGGAGGTGGAGTTCAGGCCGTGATGTAGCGTGGGGGTGGCCGGAAACATAGATGTAGCCTTGCTTTCTTGCTCGCTGCTCACTTCTTGCTATGTGGCCCAGTTCCTAATGGGCTTTAGCACATTTCTTTCAGTGAAAGGGCCACACCCTTCCTCACAGAAGCACGACAGGGCCAGCAGTGAGGTGATCTTTGCTAACTTCTGACCCTGGCAATCCCAGTGTCATCTCTGGAGTGCTCTATACAGCTCAGCCTCCACCCACCTGGTTTGACAGCTGCTGTCGTCACACAGAACTTGTGCCTGGTTTGTCCCTGAGATCTGAAAACCAGAACCATTATAGTCCTCTCCTTACTTAGATCATGAGACTATTAGGCTGTGAGCCAGGTCAAAGTCCCATTAACCATCTAAGCAGCGCTCTGTTCTCACGATGCAGGCTGTGGCTCTCAGCACCCTGGTCCTCTTCTCTACAACCCAAGGGCAGCTCCAACAGCCAGGCTGCTGTGTGTCCCTGGATTTTCCTACCAGAAAGACCCCCGCCCCAGCACCCAGGGCTTGGCCTTGCTCGGTCTCTGATGACACAGTTTTCCTATCCTGAATCAGACATCTCAGGGATGCCACAGTACTGACCTGGCAGGAGAAAACTTGTCTTCCTGTGTAATTTCTGCAGTTGGCTTCCTTCGTGACCATGTGCTCCCCCCAATCTCACTTTCCTTGTGTGTGCCATGTTGATAGCAATTCCCACCCTGGCTGCCTGCCCAGTAAAGAGTTTATTCAGCAGACCTGGGTTGCCCAAGCCCCACATATTCCAAAGGTCTTCAAGACTGGCCATTAGCAGCTCCTGAGGGAAAACCTCTGAGCTCTTAGCTATCCTCCCGCATAAGAGGGTCTTTGTACGCCAGAGACCATGCTGAACAGTTTATGTTACCAATATGATTTGTGGGAAATGCCCCTTTCTTGTTTGCTTGCAGTTCTGAACCATGTTGTTTCAGTCTGATCTCTAGGTTGAGGGTGCTGAAGGCTCAGTAGCTAAGGCCAGTCACGTGCACACTTGTGTCTATGTGAACCCAAAAGAACTGCAGACCTCAAGGTTCATGTGAGGCCCCTGGCTGGCAAGACTTCCCACATGCTGTCACACATAACTGCTGTCCCCACAACCACCCTGGGAGAGGACAACTGGACACTCCTACCTGGCTTCTCCTGGACTTTGTCTTATGCATCTTTCTCTCTGCTGATTTATATCAGTATCTGTATTTGTCACTTTCCTGTTGCTGAGACAAAACATATAACACCTGCATCTTAAAGGAGGACAGGTTTATTTTGGCTCAAGGTTTCAGAGGGTTCAGTCCATCAATAGTCTACTGGCTCCAAAACAGAAATGGCATGGAGGGAGGGCATGCCCCAGGAATGCTGCTCAACTCATGGCAGCCAGGAAACAGAGAGTGAGAGAAGAGGAAGTGGGGTAGAATACACTCCTCCAGGCTGCACCCCCAGGGACCACTGCCAACCAAACCCCACTTCCTAAAAGCACAACCAGCTACTGGACTCATCAGTGGATGAATCCGCTGGTGACAACAGCACTAACTTTCAAGGCAGTAGGAGTTGTCACAATACTTAAAATAAAAATGAAACGATGCTGTGTTTTACTCGGTGTAAAAAACATAGGAACATTTGCTTCCATAGAACATGAGTTGTTGGCATTTTCTGAACAATTCCAGATAGTGTTTTGCTAAAAGGATTAAGTAGGAGAAAAAGTTTTTAATGCCAAGGAATTTAATTTGTTTGAAGTGATGACTCATAGAATTACTACTAGTTGAATTTTAAAATACATTTTATGTTACTTTTTACCCTAATCTTCTGTTTTCTACCAAGCCTCGATCTTGCGAATTCTGAGTTTGCTGACAACACCAACTTCAGGTACAGAAACTGGCAAGGGGCATTCAGTTTCCCATCCACATCTCTGGACTGATCCTCTTCTACTCACCAGACTTCCCAATGATCTGGTTTCATTTCTGGACCCAGAGCGATGGGATGCAGGGAAACAAGTGCCTTCTTCTTTGTGAGCTCTGTGACTTGCCCTGAAAACCACAGAGTTGGCCAATTTAGTCCCCAGGGTCCTTGTGATCTCCTTGTGATCTCGTGCTCTAGGGTCAGAGGCTTTCTTGAAAGTTGGCCCAAATCTCCAGCTGCTGGATCAGAATGCACACCTTGGTGCCTTGGCTTTGTCATCTGTAAAATAGGAATAATGATCTTGCACTCTGTGTCACATGGAAATGTTGCAAGAAGATGATTAAAATTAACTTTTATACACTGAAACCATAATGTGCTTTGCAACGTGTAGGCAAATGATCCTGTCAAGTCTAGCCAGATAGAGGCCTTAAAATAGCAGTTCTTAACTTTTTGATAATTTGATATTCTGTGAGTTTGATGAAAGCAATGAACTTTCATCTCCTAAATTGGACACACGTGCAAATTTTTTGCACATATTTTCTTCGGTAAAAACCGGAGTATTTTCACTGCCAAGAAACTATAATTTTTGGTTGTTCTAGATCTCTTTCTCACATAGGGGATGAGAAGGATTCATTGCTTCAAAGAGAAAACAGATGCAGGCTGAAACAAAAGGGTCTTTGCTTAGTTCCATGCTTCAAATTGCACTTTTCAGAGCTAATGGGAAGCCCATCTTGTAGGTTTTGTTAACAGAGGGGCACTGTCAACAGTTTCTTCTTCCCTACAAGGGGAAGAGCCGCCTGTCTCCCTTCCAATTATGGAGTTGTGTGAGAGAGATTTGCAGAGGATGGGAATAGTAAAGGTGCAAAGATGGAAGCAGAAGCCAACACAAACAGGGCTTTGGAATTTAGACTGAGACTTCTCGTAGGACACTCGGTGCCAACGTGTGGCCCTCAGAGTCCATAGCGGAGCAACAGTGGCCCCGCAGTGAGGCAGGAGAGGCGGTGAGCTCCCTGTGGGGGGGCAGGGGCTACGGGAAGCCCAGAAGCTTCTGCAGGCAACAGTGTAGGAGTGCTGGGGTCTGAACAACCAAGGGTACAGAAGGAACCTGCGCACAGGACCAGGTGGCCCCCAGGGGGGGGACCTTCGGCCCCAGAAAGGGCGTCTGGTCATCAGAAGTGGATGTCAGTGCAGCTCACAGTGGCCCTAGAGGGCATTCATGGGCACAGGATGAGGGACACCCCAAGAGTGACCCCCAGGACCTCAGATAAACCAGAGATGCCTGTACCGGTGGGAGGATGTACCAGGGCTGCTCAGAAACTACTGTGTGTGTTTAGATGAAAATATTTCTTACAGTAAAAGACACATAGCGCACATGGGTCCCCCTCAAAATCCTCCCCCTTACTTTGAACCCACTTAGCTCATTGTTCTTGCCGCTCTCTGAAGCATTTCTGCAAGTCCTCTTTCATCAGTGTCTTTCCAAGATGTGATAAAAACAAAGCGAATAGTGCTGCCTTGTGCGATCTAATTGAAAGGCAGGCTCATTGAAAACATGAGTGTGTCCTCATCCACCTTATTCACCACACCTGGCACCATGTGATTTCTGACTCTACCCTAAAGTCAGCATGACTGTGAAAGGGCAATGTTTCGAATCAATTCAGGACATCACAGCAGCCAGGGTAGCACAACTAAAAACACTCATGAAAGAGGACTTGCAGAACTGCTTCCGAAAGTGGCAAGAATGATGGTATGTTCAAAGTGAGGAGGAGGAGGAGAAGGGTATTGAGGGAGATTAATGCCAATGTGTCCCTTTCTGTAATAAATTTTAAATTTGAACATTCACTGAATTTTTTTATCACATTGTGTATATGGTTATGTTTGAAAACACGGCTGAACTTTGAATTAATTTGACTAATTTAAAACATAGCTTTTGAAGGAGAAGAGACCGTGTCCCTGTGAACTGTGAGTTCATTCTCTCCTGCCCACCTGATGTCGGGCTGTGGGCTCCAGAGCAAGAAGAGGATACACGGAGGCAGCGGTGGGCCTCCCTGCACCCCTGAGCCCTACGCTGTGAGTTCATTATGATTTCTAAAACTACAGCGCATTTCTGGACCCCCAGGGACATGTTCTATGAGGACAAGCCTTTGGACAGAACAGCCCCACCTTCCAAAGATCTCAGGCAAATGGGGGGAGATTGAAAACAAGTCTTTGTGAGTCAAATTTTCTGCCAGTCGAAGTCACCCACACCAAACACAGTCATATTTCACTCCTGAAATGTCTCACAGCTGCCTGAGTCACACTTGGCTTACCAAGCACTGACTCAGCCCTCACCACGGCCCAAGACTGCATTTCCCTCTGCTTGGCTTCTAGAGGGTGGGATGGAAAGGAGTCCTCTTGCCCTTTCCTTGTTGGTGATCAGGGAACCCAAAATTGAACAATGAGCTGAAAGAAATACTCTAGAATATCTGAATGTATTAGAAGTGGCTCTAAAAACAACTTTTGTCCTAGTCAGTTTTCTGTTGCTGTAACAGAAAACCTGAGGCTGTGTAATCTATAAAGAAAAAAAGTTTTGCTTAGCTCATGGTTCTGGAGGCTGAGACATTTAAGATCATGCAGTTTTCTTCCAGGGAGGGTTTTGTGCTCCTCAACTCAAGGCAGAGAGAGGAAGGGAAAGTACACAGAGACAAAGTAAGCCAAGTGGGTGCTGTCTGTAGTTTCAGGTACTCAGGAGGCTGAGGCAAGAGCATTGTTGAACTCATAAGTTGAAGACCAGCCTGGGCAACATAGTGAGAGCCTATCTCAAAAGAAAAAACAAAAAGGCAAGACACGAAGGGCTGCCAAATCTCAGTAATTAATCCAGTCCCAGCTGAGCTGAGCACTATTATCCTTGTGGGAAAGGCACCAATCCATTCACAAGGGCTCTGCCCCTGGGACCCACACATCCCACCCTAGGCCTCATCAACTTAAGCTTTGCAGGGAAAAACTGAATTGAAACCATAGAAACTGTCAATCTTCAGAATTTCACTTATGATTGACATGCAAGACTGGGAGTCATGAAAGCCCAAGCTGCTGCCTGTGGGTGATATTTGTTAAGTGAACTGGTTGTCAGGTGGTGCCATAGTACAGGTGTCCCAAGAAGGAGGAGGGTGGCCTGAAGGCCTCCATTTCAAGATGGCAGCCTCTGGGCATGGCAGGAAGCCCTGGAGGAGACCAGGGACGGAACTGAGAAGCAGCCTGGATGTCTGACTACCCTCATTCCACCCAGAATCCCACGAGGATAGTTGGCAAGGGCCAGTCAGTGACATTTGTTCCAGAGCAGCTGGAAGCTGTGTTCCCGATTCTGCAGCACAGGCCTGAGTTGGGCAGAAGAGTGGGGAGGAGGAGCTTGGGGGAGATGGGCACAGGCAGAATGTCTACTCTGGTGGGTGGGGAATGGGAAGAGTGAGGTGCATTCTGGGGGATCGGAGTGGATTAAAGGCACTGGGGAGGGGGCATCAAAAGAGATACATCCAAGAAAAGCTGCACCATTAGCTGGGTGTGGGGGTGCACATCTGTAATCCCAGCACTCTGGGGGCTGAGGCTAGAGGATTGTAACTTTGAGCCCAGCCTGGGACAAGTTAGTGACTTAGCAAGACTCTGTCTCAAAAAAAAAAAAAAAAAAAAAGTAAAGGAATATAAAAGGACCAGGGATGTGGCTTACTGCAAAGGCCCGGGGTTGAACCAAAGTGAAGCAGACAAGAGTGGCTTTATTCAAGACTCTTGCAATAGAGGAGCAAGCCTGAACTTAACCCCACTGCACCCAGAGCCCAGAGGGGGTTTAAGCTCTGGGGGCCTTGGTGGGAAAGAATTTGGGAAAGCTTTTCATTTTATTTTTTTCTGGATGGGGATTGAACCCAGGGCTTTTATTTTGAGACAGGGTGTTGCCAAGTTTCTCACTTGGCCAGGCTGTTTTCAAACTTCTGACCCTCCTGCCTCAGCCTCCCAAAGTGCTAGCTTGTGGTTTTTATATTTGAGATTGTGGCCTGAAATGTGTGAAGACAATTCATGAGATACATAACAATGAATTTCATTTAATATGGTTGAATTGGGAACATAAGCACCTAGGTATAAACTTAAAATACCACTTTACCTGGTAACTGCTGAAATGTCAATGGTAGTCACCAACATGGCATAGGAAAGTGGCCAAAAATATTTAACCATATTCCAGAGAGGCTATCCAGACAAATCTCATGTTAACTAACCAAGGAACTGACAAGAGTTATCTGAGTTAAAAATCACTAGTTTATTTTGAAAGCATTAAGATGTTAAGTACTCTAGATGAGTTATGTATTTTTTAAATATAGAAAAGACACGACTCCTGTGATACTACATGTGTAGTTACACCTGGCAGGTGATTTTGTCCTTCACAGGACTGTGACAATACCTGGAAACATTACTTGCTGTTAAACTGGGGCTGGGGGTTCTATGTGACCCAGAGAATAGAGGTCAAAGACTCCATAAAACACAGAATGTATGAGAAAATTCTCTCCACAACCAAGAATTATCTGATCCCAAATTGCAAAAATGTTGAGGCTGAGAAACACCATCTAAATGGTCTAAAATATGATATAATATAGCATGCCAACCAGAAGAGAAACTTGCTGCTAAGTTATTCCATTACCATCCACTGGTTGCAATGCTATTTATCCAGTAACAATAAGTGAGCAAGAAGCCAGGGTGGGTAAAGCATGTCCTGGAAGCCAAGATAATTGGCTTTAGTGTCAAAAATACCTCCAGTGGAGCCCCTCCCAATTCTGACAGGGCCAAGTCTAAGCTAACTGTAAAAATAATGACAGTAATTCCTATCTCTCAGAACTGTTGGGGGGAATATTAAATAATAAAACGTTTCTAAAGAGCTTGAGCTGAGTGTACCGGTGCACACCTGCAATCCCAGCACTTTGGGAGGCTGAGGCAGGAGGATCACACATTTGAAGGCAACTTAGCAAGATCTTCTCTCAAAATAAAAAATTTAAAAGGCTGGGGATGTAGCTCAGTGTGAAGGCCCTGCGTACAATCCCCAGGACCCTGATAAATACACACATACATATTTTTAAAAAAATGTAAAAACAGCTTGGCATAGAGACTGGGACTCAGTAAAATCACATTGAATGATAAATAATAATAATAATAAATGGGATGCAAAGTTTCTTCCAATATGAAATGCAATATTTCACAGAAACTAGACTTCTTACAAAACTAGTGACTTAACTTGCCTGGCCCCATCTTTGGGAAATAACACAGTCCTATTACAAAGCCTGTCTAGTCTAGAGCCAAGCCCACCACCTCTGAGATTTAGAAAATGTCTCTTTTACCTGCTTCACCATTCCCACTGGAACTCTGTGCTGGACCTGTGAGCTCACTGCTACTCTTAGTGGTGTCAATGCCAGACCAGGATGAGGGCCAATAGATTCTCACAGGAGCAAGAACCCTACTGTGAACTGTGCATGCGTGGCATGGAGACTCTAACGTAACAATAATAAAAACAAAGTGCACAATGTAATAGTAATGGAAACAAAGTGCACAATAAATCCAGTGCACTTGAGTAGTCAGAAACCATCCCACAGACCCCCTTGCCCATGAAAAAAATGTCTTCCACCAGGCCAATCCCTGGTACCGAAAAGGTTGGGGACCCCCACTCTAAAACCTCTTTTGTCTTGGAGCAGCAAGGCACCCTCACGCTGCAACTGGCCGCAGTGACAAGTTGTCAAGTAAGTGCTCGTAAGTGCTCAAAGGAAAGGGAGGACAAGAGGCAAAAGCCAGGAAGCAGCCTGTCCAAACCCATTGGGGCTGACGCTTAGCCAGCTGCCTCCATTGACCCCAAAGCCTGGGATTCCGCTTCTTCTGGCAGGATGCTCTCCGGTGTGACACCGACTTTGGCCACTAGATGGCGGTACCGCAGTGCTTGCGCCTAGGATCTTCGGGCAGAGGAAAGGAAGCCATTCCCAGGCAGCATCTTTGACGCAAGTTTGGAGACTTAAGGGTCTTTAAGGGCTGGACCCTGGGCTCCTCTGGGTGGTCCCCGACGGGCCTCGGATGCCATTTTCTAAGTCTCAGGGTTTCCCTTAAGCTCATTCCCCTATTCTAGCTGCGGTTTTACACAGGTTTGGGGTTTCCAGGCCATCCCTGCCTATGAGACGCAGGGCCTGTGGCGGGCCTGGCCTGGAAATGTGTATGTATCGCACTAAATTGCCCAGGCTGGGCTCAAATGAGTGATCCTCCTGCCTCAGCCTCCCGGAGTGCTGGAATTCCAGACGTGCTTTTCATGTTTTATAAAATCCTAGATTCAAGGAGGGGCCTTTGTGACTCTTGCAGGGAAAGCCTAGACAGAGATGGCCTTTGAGGGCCTGGAAGGGGCAGAGATTCTAGTATTAGCAGCTGTCTTCCTGGCTGCATATGCACCCCAGCGTGCCTGCTGGGCCTCAGCTGCCAAGCCTGCCTGGAAGCTTTGGGAAGACCCAGCCCAGACCGTGGGTCGGTGGCCCCGGCAGAGCCCAGAGAGCAGGAGGACCCTCCCAAGGGCACAGCCCTTTGTGTTAGCTGCCACCCTCCCAATACAAAAGACCTGGGACTGAGACTCAAGTGCAGGGAGTTGATCTGGGACATGCAGGAAAAAGTAAAACGATGGGAGGAAGAGGTGGAGGCGGATAAAAGGTTCGAGACTGAGCGGAGTCCTGTGATCCTAGCACTCTGGGAGGCTGAGGCAGGAGGACTGCAAGTTTGAGCATAGCCTGGGCAATTTAGTGACTTAGCAAGACCTGTCTCCAAACTTCTCTCTCTGTCTCTCTGTCACTGTCTCTCTCTCTCTCTGTATGTAAGGCCAGAGATGTAGCTCAAAGGTCTTGGGTTCAATCCCCAGTACTGGGGAAAGAAGGAGGAGGAGGAGGAAGAGGAGGAGGAAGAGGAGGAGGAGGAGGGGGAGGAAAGGAAGAAGAAAAGGTGTGAGGCCAAGCCAGCTGCCACTGTGGGTGACTGGGGTTTCAGCCCACGGGAAAACCCCAGGAGACAGCATAGATGGTTTGGCTCAGAATTTTCCCACTTGAGCAGTAGGCTTGAACGTGTGATCCTCCTGCCTCAGTTTCCCAAGCGTGCTGGAAATACAGGTGCACAACCATGCCCGCCTCAGGAGGTGGCATTTAGAGATCAGCCTCCGAATGGACTGAAGTGCTGGTGCCCACGCAGGGAGACCAGATGGGAAAGGTTATGTCTGTCCCTTGGTTCTGGGAGGAGAAGCCTGGTTTCCTATCGAGAGAGAAGGCAGAAGCAGCTCTGGGGCAAGTGACAGATCCGAGGCTAAACCAGAGAAGTGTGTTGAAACAGCTCATGCAAGTAGGCAACACGGGCAACCATCTCTGGCCCGCATGTGACAAAATGGACTTTACAGCCCGTAAAACAGGGTGCAAAAAGCATGAGGGAGAATCAGCCATAGGACACTTTCTAGAAGGCGGCTTCCGGCGGGGCACAGCTGAGGTGCGAGTGGCCCCGTGTGAAAGTTGGTGCCACAGCGGGACACTATCAGGTTGTCTGAGCTGGGGGAGGCCTGCAGGGCAGACAGGGACAAAGGAGGTGAGGTACTGCTCGGGCCTGGCACCTTAGGTATTCCGGGCATCAACCCCTCTGCCCTGCACCCCTGGTACTCGGCTATTAGTGGGCTATTAGTGGCCGTGGTGCACGCACCGAGTTCCCACGTGCCTTAGCTCTCTCGGGGTTCTGGCTCTGAGAGCCCGCAGGCCATGCTGCGCCTCGGCAAGCTGAGAACTCTACAGCCTGCGAACGAACAGGCCCCCAGACGCCCAGGGCTCTGTGTATAGAATTCAGGGCGTCTGCGAATCTGGACGGGGAAAATAATTCCTCCCTTTGTTTCTTTCTGGCCAGTCCTCCTCCCCGCTTCATCAAGAGGATCCAGATGCATCGAGTCACAACCCCAGCGGCTTCCTACTCATTTCAGAGGAAGCGCAGGAAAGGAAAGTCAGCCGGCAGCAGGGGGCGCCCGCGTCTCGCTCTCAGCTTCCTCCGGGCGTCCTGGAGCCCGGCTCAGCTCCAGCAAAGGCGGGAGAGCGCTGAGGCCCTGCACATCCATCCAGTCCCCACCAGCCACCTCTCCCCAAGGTCCCGAGAAGTGGGACTTGGAGAAGTGGGCTGAGTGCTTCGCCCGCACTGCGCCACCGTCCTTGGCCTCGACCCAGCGTGGGCCACCGGGCCTTTCAACGGGTGGCTGGAGAAAAGTGGATGCCGTTGAGGGAAAGGGACGCGAGCCTCCGCCAGGGGGCGCCGGGGAGCAGAGCAGCCTGGTCCCCCAGGCCTGCTTTTCTTTACCCATCTGACTCTGCGCACCTCACTTCTCTTTTTTCTCTTTCTTTAGCTGTTTTTTTCCCCCTCATTACCTGGGCAGAGGAGTCACAGAGAGCCTTAGACCTCCTATGCATACGCTGTAGACCTTCGCATCCTCGTCCTCCAGGCAGCCTACCTGTGACAGGGTGCAGCAGCCCAAAGCCTGGAGAGTGGGGGGCAAAATAAGTGGACAGGTGCTGGCATCTCACTCAATGGTCCCCACCCACCACAGGGAAGCAAGAGACAGTCCGGGGACCGGTGGGGCCTCAATTTCCTCGTTTAAAACGGCCTCGGCAAGTTAGATTGAACACTGCATTAAATGCACTTAAGCATTTAACTTTGTGAGGATAAAATATGTGTGCAGAAGCTTTTGAAAAACTCCAAGAAATCACTGCCTCTTGATATCCATGCCCCTGTATAAGCCTTTTCATTGGATTGTGGGCCGGGCCTGGGGGCTCTAGCAAATAGAAGGGAGGATGGAAAAAGACAATGAATATATACATTTAAAAAATGTATTGCAGGTAAAGATGCATCGCCATGAATTACCCTCAAAATACCCACTCCCTGCTTTGAACACACTTTATCCCATTGTTCTTGCCACTTTCTGAAACAGTTCTGAGCGTTCTCTTTCATGAGTGTCTTTATGAGATGTGATTAAAAAAATACAATGAATGTGTTTCCTGAGTGCCATGCAACAGAAAGGGAGGCTCATGAAAATGTGACGGTGCATCCTTATTCACTGGATCTGGCACTGTGTGAGTTCTGGCTCTTCCCCAAAGTCAAAATGACCATGAAAGGGAAATACTTTGAATGGATCCAGAACATTGAGGCAGCCAGGACAGTGGAACTATAAAGACCCTCATGAAAGAGCACTTCCAGAACTGCTTCAGAAAGTGGCAAGAACAAATGGGATGAGTGTGTTTGAAGCACAAAGGAAAATTTCTGAGGAGGATTCATCACAATATGTCTTTTACTGTAACACATTTTGTAATTAAAGCACTCCTGTATTTTTTCATCACACCTCCTAGAATAAGGCAAAAGTGAGAGGTTTCACTTCTGAGATTAGGTTGCACAAGACTCATTTTCATCTTGCTGGCTCCTCTCGCTCCCTTGCTGTGATGCAGCTACAGTGTCATGAGCTACCCTGTAAAAGGGCCACTTAGCAAAGACTTGAAGCTTCTGGTCTCTGGGCAGCAGTCAGCAGAGAAATAGGGCCCTTGGGCCACTTACATCATCCTCATGACCAAGGAGATCTTCCCCCATTTGAATTTTGAAACAACTATAGCTGTAACCAGTATGTTTTTTTTTTCTTCATTTAACAGTTGTATTATGATCTAATTTACATCCCGTAAAATTGACCCAAAGTGTTCAATTCACTTCAATGATTATCAGTATAATCAGAGTTGTAACAATCAGTTCAACCTACTTTTGAAATATGTTCATCATCCCCCAAAGAAACCCCATACACGTTAGCGATTATTTCCCTTCCTTCTCTTGCCTCAGTCCTCTGTAGCCAACATGTTAATTGCAGCCAATTCTCTTAATTGAGAACCAAAACTCCCTTATGAGCTGACCTCCAGAGATGGTGGGATAAATAATAACATAAACATAGTTGTTTTAAGTCACTGTGCTGCAGGATAATTTGTTATACAGCCACAGGTAACTAGCAATATGTAGGAGATCTTGTATCAGCCAGCACAGGCAAACATGCCATAACAAATACCCCAAACATATAATGACTTATCAAAATAATCCTGGTCTGGTTTTCATGCCACTGAGATCCTCTTTCCCAGTCAATTTGGGATTGAGAATCTTGCCACTGTTTCTGTAACCAGTCCAGAAGGGGAAAGGGTGGAGGCAAACTCGCTCCCACCAAAGCCCTGCCCAGGAAGACTCTTAACAGAAAGATACTCACATTCTCTTGGGGAACCAGGGTTCTATGGTCCCACCCACTTTCAGAGGAGAAGAGGAGCTATTGCTGGTCACCATGGCTATGAGTTTAGAGGAGCAGATATGGGAAGGACAGATCAACCTAAATCACTCAATGTACCTGGCCGAGCCCCACTCTGGAACTTCTCTTAGTCACATCTGCTGACACAGAATAGTCAGAGACTTCCATACCAAGAAATTCTTGTCCTTTTCATTCATCCCTGGCCAATGTATTCTAACACTTCCTGACCAGAGCCCCGTGTCTTTTCTCTCTTGTACCTGCTTTTATTCAGGCTGTAAATTCTGCAGGATAGAACCCAGGGTCTTCAGCCTGAGCTGCATCCTGAGACCTTTTTTATTTTTCACTTTGAGACAGGGTCTCACTGATTTGCCCAGGCTGTGCTCAAACTTGGAATCCTCCTGCCTTGGTCTCCATACACCAGACATTTTTACATTGCAGTATGTCCTGAATCAGCAGAAACTATTTCTAAATCTGTAAGGATTAGGTTAGATGGCATAAATCAAATACCCTAAATAACTGTGGCATAAAGAAAAGGTTTATTTTTCATGTTCTCTTTCTCCATGTAAAATAACCCTGAAGTAGCAGGGTTAGGGTGAACTTCACCTGGAGCCCAAGATACCTCAATATTCCTCCTGCACTGTGCTCAAAATCATCTCATCACTGCAAGGTAGATGCAGACACATCCAGGTTCCAGGAACAAGGGAAAGAAAGACGCTAGGGCCAAAGAGCCTATCTCTCAGCTCTGCTGGCTCTTTTAAGACCCTTCTGGTAGGCTCCACTCCAGAGACTCTGGGAGATGTAGTTTCCTACTCGGACACATTCTTGAACATAGCAGTAGAGCTTCCCTAACTAAGAGGATTGGTGATAGGCAGCGAGCAGTCTCTGACATGTCCTCTTCCTCCCCAAGGGAGCAGGAAGATGGATTTCCGCAGGTCCAAATCCCAATCGGCTTTTCTATAATAGCCATTAATGGTATTGACTGAACTGTCTGTACCGCCGCATACTTATAGCTTGGCTGAGAAGGATGCCCGAGCCCATCGGCTCCTTTGTTAGACCCAAGAATGGGTGTGTGTAGGACAGTGGCAGTGGTATGGGCCGGCCAGATGGATGGCCGCTTCCCAGACTCAGAACACAGAATCGGCTGGGGCTGCCTGAACACACTGCAAAAGATGGCACTCATGAGTGCCATTCCCTTAATTAGCAGCAGACTTAATTTTAGGACAGTTTTGGATTTGTAGGAAACTCGAGCAGATAATAGAGCTCTCGTAACACCCCCTGCCAAACACAGTTTTCCTTATTGTTAAAATCTTGCATGAGTGTGACACTCTTGTTATAATTAAATGCACCACTGTTGACACATTCTTATTAGCTAAGTCTACGGTTTATTCCGATTTCTTAGGTATTTTTAATGTAATGTTCCCTTTTCTGTTCCAGAATCCCATCTAGAAAACCATGCTGCACATATTTTAATGTCTCTTTAGGCTCCTCTTGGTTAAGATGCAACATTTTCTCAGAATTTTCTTGTTTTGAATGACCTTGACCTTTCTCAGGACCACGGGTCAGGTATTCTGCAAGGTGTTCCTCGGCAGGAATTTGTCTGATGTTTTAATTGTGGTCAGACTGGGGATGTTTCTTTGGAAGAGAATCACAGATGCAAAGTGCTGCAGATATCATATCATATTGAGGATTCACACTATCAACATGATTTATGGCTGTTGATGTTGACCTTGATCACCTGGGTAAAATAGTGTTTTCAGGGTTTCTTTACTGTAAAGTGATTTCCATCTTTCCATACACTACACTTTGATTTTTTGTTTGTTTGTTTGTTTGTTTGTTTGAGACAGGGTCTCACTATGTAGTACTATGTATGGCCTTGAACTCATGGCAGTCCTTCTGCCTCAGCCTCCCAAGTGCTGGGATTATAGGTGTGTGCCAACATGCCTGGCTTCCATACTAGAAACTTTGGAAGGAAGTTACTACACACAGCCTACACTTAAAGAGTGAGGAGTTGCATTCCTCCTCCTTTATATGGATTATCTACATAATTGAATTGGAATCCTTCCATGTGAGATTTAGTTCTTCTTATGGAGAAAATTTAAAACTATAAGCATGTTAGTCAGCTTTCCACTACTGTAACAAAAATACCTGGGAAAATGAATTTAAAAAGAGAAAAGGAAATCAGAGGACCCAGTCTATATTCTGGGACAAAATGCTCAACACCTGCAATTTAAGGGAGGAGAGATTTATTTGGGCTCATGGTTTTCAGAGGATTTACTCCATGGTCAGCTAGCTCCAGGGCAGAACTGACACGGTGGATGGGTGTGGCACAAGACAGGTGCTCAACCCATGGGAGCCAGTAAGCACAGAGAGAAGGGAAGAGATGGGGAGAGAGATACCTTCCAGGTCATGGCCCCAGTGACCTACATCATCCAACCAGTCCTCCCCTTCTAATAGCACATTCAACTCTGAATTCATCAGTGGGTGAATCCCTTAAATAAGTATTGTGCCCCCAGGATCCAATCACCTTCCGAAGCCCCATTCTGAACACAGCCTGTGGATGGTTGACCCCATTGTCTATGGAGAAGCAGCTCATCATGACAGGGAGTGAGTGGAGAAGGAAGTTGCTTGCCTTCCAGCAGCTGGGGAGAGGAGTTTAGAGGAGCAGAGTCCCAGGGTCCCCTTCAAGGAGACAACCCAGCAACCTAATTCCTTCCATGGAGCTCCATCTCCAAGCGCTGCCCCCCCCCCAACTCCTGATAGTGCTGCGGGCTGGGACCTACAGGGGCCTTCGGGGGCCATTCAAGAGCCAAATAAAACACCGAGAATCTACAGCAGTTTCCTCTCTTGCTTCTAGGACTAAAATATGACTGTAGCATTTTCTTAAAACAGGAGCCTTGGAAATGCACATTTTAATCATGTTTGTGATTAAATATTCGGTGATTTTTTAAAAGCACTGGGGATCAAATCCAGGACCTTTGCATTGAGCTACAACCCCAGCCCTTTCTATTTTTTTTTTTTTTTTTAATTTTAAGACAGGGTCTAACTAAGTCACTAAGTTGCCCAGGCTGGGCTTGAACATTCAATTCCTCTGCCTCAGCCTCTCTGCATACTGGGATCACAGGTCTGTGCCACCATGCCCAGCTTAAAGTAATGTCTTTAAAAACTGGTGTGTATCACTTTCCTCTTTTGGAGACATACATTAAATAAACTATGAACAGTCAAGTATAGTCCACCTCTTGCACCTCTGTAAAAAGGAACTCTTTGACACCACTCTTGTCACCCGCACACAGAGCTCACGCAGTTACTCACACTTGGAGGCTGGCACAGGGAGCTCTCAGAAGGCCACCTACCTCTGCTTGGACTGCTTCAGGGACCGAGATCCTTGTTCCCTCCGGGACCTCTCCCCCAGCTCTGGGCAGATGGCTCCATGAGAGTGAAAGTTCTTCCACTGCACCAAAGCCTCGCCCAGCCTCTATCTGTTTGGCTCCATCTTACCTGTCGTAAGGGGTCATAAGGATGAATTCAAATCATCTTTGTTTTGCTCCCATTTCTGCACCTATAAAAAAATCCCTGAGAAAGTGAAGTAAAAAGGATTAAGATGAAATGTGTATATGTTTGCCACACCAGATCATGGTAGAAGGCACGACACAGCAAGACAGAATTGATACGGAAAAGTTTTAGATAACTTAATAGCTTGAATATTAAGGTAGCTGTAGAAGCAAAATAAATAATGTGTTCTTTTAAGATTTGCTTTTCCTGTAACTCCTTGTTTAAGGTGAGGATTATCTGATTCTAACCGGTGACTT